AAATTATTTCCTTTTATTAGTTTAATTAAATCAAGATTTTTCATAAACAAAAAAACCTAAAAATACTTTCTTGATTAATTTTATTTCTTTTAAACTAGGGTTTAATTTTAATTATTTTAATTAATTATTATTTTTAGATAATTAGGTTAAAACCATTTTCTTCAAAATCCAAACAAAAATCCATTTTTTTTCTTTCCATTTACATTCTTGTATATTTATTCATTTTTGTACATTATTTATCCAAATTCAATATGGTTGTAATAGATAATTAGGCTTATTTTCTTGTAATCCTCATTTGTAATTTGTACACCCCCTCCCACAAGTATTGTAATAACGTAGTAATTTTAAATTCCGCAATTTATTGCTTTATATACAAATGCTAGTAATTAGGGTTTTGAATGGAAAGACTAAAACCAATCAATTACAAAACCCTAATCAAAGACAAAACCAAGCATGAAAAACAATACACTTACACACAAGCACGCTTTAGGGTAAATCCACTTGGTTGCCTTACAAAAAATGGCCATATTACGCATGTGAGGTATCTTAGCGAAAACACACAAAATACAAGATCATAGTCCCTCGATGACGCTATCCATGTTGCCTTTTCAAAATGATCTTAGTCCCTAAAGAAAGATGCTAAGATACTTTGCAACATTGCTAATCATGGTTATACAATGACCCATGCCCGTCCCGTTTACATCCAAAGATAGAGTTGCTTACCAAATCAATGGTAAGATAACAATGTCAACGGAAATAGGAAATAAACAAGAAAGACTTTTGAGTAGGTAGATTGTTCCTAGTTACTTGCTCACTTTCAAAATAAAACATCCTTGCTATTTTCAAAGCAAACACCAACACTTTCAAAAACATATTTCAAACTTGAAAACATTTTCAAAAGATCAACACTTTGTATACATTCTTACGAACGAGAATCATTACAAAGTTTGCCTAAACGATGGTGCCTTTTCAAAATACTTTCCAAAACCACACAAAGCACAATTTCGAACAAAAGCAAGTGATCTAGCAAGTAACTAAGAGACCATGGAAAACCATGTATGAAAAGGGTGCTAATACCTTCCGTTTTCATAATCTACCCCCCGAACTTAAGAAATAATCTCAAAGGTATTTCCTGTGCTTTTTCACCTTTCCTTTTTGGATAAAAGAAAAGTCGGTGGCGACTCTTGCTAACCGCAACATTTGCGATAAAATGCAAAACATCCAATTCAGTTCTCCCATCGTATCACAATGTGCATGGTCCCAGATGTAATGATTCCTCCCAAATTTAAGGTGCCAGGTTTTGAAAAATACAAGGGACTCACGTGCCCAAGAAATCATGTACGCATGTTCTACAGGAAAATGGACGCATGTGCTCACGACTAGAAATTGATGATTCAAGATAGTCTGAGTGTGGCATCTTTGGATCGGTATATGCAGTTGGAATGAACTTACATATGAACATGGACAGACCTTGCTCACACTTTCTTAAAACAATACAAGTACAATTTAGATATGGCTCCTAACCACATGCAATTTCAAAACTTGTCTCAAAAGAATGATGAATCTTTCAAAGAATATGCTCAGCAATGGAGAGAGATGGAAGCTTGTGTACAACCACCACTCCTTGAAAGAGAATTGGTAGACATGTTCATGAGCACCTTACAAGGTCAATACTATGAGAAGATGGTAGGCAACGTCTCCTTAAGGTTCTCTGATTTGGTAATAATAAGGGAATAAACTGAAAATGGTCTAAAGAGTGGCAAGATACAAGGGGTATCCAGTACTTTTTACAAATCAAATAATCATGCTCCTAACTTCTCGAAAAAGAAGGAAGGAGAAACTAATGATATTGTAGCACATCAGAAAGCACAACAACCATGGGTGATCCCACAAGATCAACAAAAAATAGTTTCCAAAGACCTCTGAGAAAATTTGATCCTCTCCTTATGCCACATGGTAAACTACTGCAGCATTTGCTTAGGGCATCCCTAATAGAGCTCAAGCCACTTACCTCTCCATTTGGGGAACTCCCGCCAAAGTACGACACAAACGCAATATGCGAAAACATGCAGATTCCCCTAGGCATACCCTTGAGAAATGTTTGGATTTTAGACACAAGGTTCAAGATCTGAATGACTCACAAGCTATCACTCTTGATAAACCTAATACATAGACAAGCCATATGCCTTCGCATGGTGGTCATAAAGTGAATGCAATTGAGATAGTCATTGATCAAAGAGGGACTAAACAAGTGAAGGCACTGATAGATATCCTAAATGTGCATCTATTGGAACATAATGATGCTTTCAAGAACACTTTGCAGAAATTAGTGGATATGGGAGTAGTCCAAATCAGGCAATACCCTAAAGAAGAATATGTAGTTGTGATTGATGGGAATGCGAGATGACCATTGATGATCCATTGCCAAAGTCTGAGTTCTATAAAAAAATCCACTTGTAATTCCTTACTTGGAGCTAAGCTCCACAAGAAAACCATTGGCAATACAATACCATATCAAAACCAAACTTTAACAATGCCAGTATCTCCAAAGAATACAATGGTAATCAAGGTTCCGTCCTTTATCCTTTACAAAAGTGGTAAAGTTATGTCATAGAATTAAACCCCTATTATCTATGTCAATGGACATAAAAAAGAGTGTGAACCACTAATAAATCAGGAACCTGTAATAACAAACATAGCAGGAACAAAGAGCATGACACGCAGTGGTTGCATATATGCTCTAGATCAACAGAAGAATGATGATACTTTAACTAATGTTAGAGTAAAAGTTGTGGCAGAACTTAGCTCGGGACATGAGCCTCCAAGTAAGGCATTTACTGACAAAGAGGTTGGTTAGTTCCTAAAAATGATCAAGAAGAGTGATTACAGGGTAGTGGATCCACTCCACCAGACCCCACCCAAGATATCAATACTCACATTACTATTAACTTTAGAAGCGGACTGATAATCTCTGATGAAGATCCTAAGTGTTTCTCATGTTACAAAGGAGATCACAATGAACCAATTTGATAGGGTTGTAGCCAATATGACATTTGGGATATGCCTAGGTTTCAATGATAGTGAGCAACCTCCTTAAGGTAGAGCCCACAATAAGGCTTTTCACATCTTAATCTAATGCAGAAAGACTAGTATATCTAGAGTGCTCACTGATATTGGTTCCTCCTTAAATGTACTACCAAAGACCAGATTAATGAAACTAACAATAGAAGGCATCACAATAAGGCCAAGTTCCATGGTGGTTAAAGATTTTGATGGCTCACAAAGCACCATTTTTGGAGAAGTGGACCTCCCCATAAAGATTGGTTTGCACACTTTCTATTACCTTCCAAGTGATGGATATAGAACTAGTGTATACTTGCCTAGTAGGGTGACCATGGATTCATGCTGCACGGGAAGTCACTTCAACCATACACCAAAAGTTGAAGTTCCTTATTGAAGGAAAGTTGGTCGTGATTGATGGGGAAGAAGACATCTCCGTAAGTCATTTGTAATCCTACAAGTACATTGGTGTGGAAGAAGATTATGTGGAAAGACCGTTCCAAGTATTAGAAGTAGCTACAATAGTTACCCTCCCGGTGGAAAATTCAAAAGACCCGGAACCCCATGACATCATGGCGAGACCTGCAAATAACAGTGGAAGATAAAAGCTCTAAAGATTGGGGCAAGCTCATGGAAATATCCGAAAAGAATGACCTATTTCGTTTAGGCTATAAATATTTAGGAGCTTTCAAGAAGGATAAAGGGTGAATTCCTCTAATCCAATAGACCTTTATCAAGGTTGGAGTTGAACATGGTGGGAAAGTGTTTATGATATTCAATAAGAGCAACAACAAAGGAGCATCAAACCTTATCTACGAGTGTGCTCTTGGTGAAGAGCTTAAGAATTGGACTGTCATGGAGATCCCAAAGATCTATTTCTTTACAAAGTAATTTTTTCTGTTTAAAAAAAAACTATGCCCCACCCGAGGCATAAGGGTAGCTTGTAAGGGCCCCCATTTATTTTCAAACAGTGTTTATCATTAATAAAATTTAGATTTTCATTCAATTAAGATCCATTTCTTTCATTTCCTGTTATTTTTCAAAATGGCAATGCTTTTTCTTTTTTTCATACGCACTTTTCAATTTCACATTATAAAAGAAACTAAAACATGATACAATGTGCAGATCCACACCTAAACTCACCTAGGGGTATTCAGATCCAAACCAACCCCATAAAAAACTGCAAATCGAACCTAACCAAACCGATAACTGCAAAAAAATGCATTTGGTTCGGATGCGTTTGGGCCATTTTTTGACAGAACAAAGCAACTCTGTTCGGTTTGCGGTTTTATATTTGTAACCCGATCTGAACCAAACCAAACCGTGATATTTACAAACTTGCTTATTTACTAAACATGCCCAATACTTAACCGGCCCAATATCCAACTTGTTTCACCTTTTTGCTAGGGTAAGGTACTAACATCAGTGAACAAACAACATTGTGAACATGCACACCACCTTGTTGAATAAAGAATTGAGGAGTTGGAGATACAAATCGAACTCGAAGAACATCAGTGAACACAAATCGAACATTATGCTTATGTTCAAAATTTGAAAATCAGGTAACGTTATTGTTATCTTTGATTCTTCTGTTCAAATTCGAAAATCTGCTCGAACATTCTTATGTTCTTCAATAATAAACTTTGATTCAAAGGTATAATTTTTCTGTTATGATGTACAATTTTTTTGTTCTGGTATGTAATCTTATTATCTTCAACAGTAAACTTTTGTTCTTCAGCCACATAAAATTACATGCTTCTGTAATTTTTTTATTCTGATATGTAATCTTTTGCAACCAAAGCTTTCATTTTTTATCTAACTTGTTTCACCTTCATGTTAATTTTTATCTAACATTTTTCATGTTCTACTTGTTGGCCCTTGGTTTATGTTTTATTTTCATCTCATTTTCTCTAATATATTATCTCCTCTATTTCTTATATATGACTATTAATAAAGAAGTCAATTATGTTGCTGGCTCTGATGCTTCCTTTTCCATGGTCGAAAACAGGTAAAATAATGATAAATGAGTGTGTTTGATAAATGTTAAGTTCATGATTGGAACTTATTTAGTGGCTATAATAAAGTGTCTATATTTACAGTGTATGTATTATGTATTTTTATTCTAAAAATAGTCCACTGACGCATACAACAAACCTACCCCAAACTATTGATTTGGACAAACAAGAAGGCGACAATGTTCAAAAGAAAAAGAAAAGGAAAGTTGGAGAAGCGGATGATCCTAAAGCTGATGATTCTAATGCTGGAGATTCAGGTAAAAAAACCTTGTAGGCCTAATTGTGGGTTTGGGATCATTTTACAAGAGATGAATCGGGTACTCGGGCTAAATGTAATTGGTGTACGAAATCTTATCCGACTGATCCACATAAGAATGAAACCTCAAATTTAAATAACCATTTGATGCATCAATGTAAAAAAAACTCCCAAAAATTTTCTTAATCCTAGTCAAACCACTCTTAGCTTTCAAGAAGGCTCTAAAGGAAATAGTATTGCACTTGTTGGTATCCATTTTGATGTTGAATTATGTAGACAAGCTTTAGCTAAAATTATAATTGTAGATTAATTGCCTTTTTCTTTTGTTGAGAATGAAGGATTCTGTCATTTTATGAGTGTTACACAACCTAGGTTCCCACTTCCAGGAAGGGTTTCAATTGCTAGGGACTGTTTGAGTCTTTATGCGAGTGAGAAACATAAGTTAAGAAGCATTTTTACTAAAACAAATCAAAGTGTTTGTCTAACAACTGATGCTTGGACTTCTGTGCAAAATATTAATTATATGGTTCTTACTGCGCATTTCATTGATCAAGACTGGAAGTTGCATAAAAGGATTCTCAATTTTTGTCTAATAACTTCTCATAAGGGAGAGATAATTAGGAGAAAGATTGAAAAGTGTTTGGAGGGTTATATGATAGATAAGGTTTTCCCTATCACGGTTGATAATGCCGTTTCAAACGATGTTGCTATCGCTTACCTAAAATATAAAATGGAGGATTGGAATTCACATCCATTAAAAGGGGAGAATTTACATATTATATGTTGTTCTCACATTCTTAACCTTGTTGTCAATGACAGGTTGAAGTTGAAGCACATGCACTTTTCACTTTCCAAAATTAGGAGTGTGGTTTAGTATGTTTGTCAGTCACATGTTCGTTTGGATAGGTTTAAGACATGTATTAAAGAAGTTAGGATACAAGACAAGTCTACTATGTAATATGATTGTCCCACTAGGTGAAACTCCACATACCTTATGCTTGAAAGTGAACTTAAGTTTCAAAAGGCCTTTAAGAGATTAGGTGAGAAATGTGTTAAGTATGCGATGTTGGAAGATGGTGTCCCAAATAATGAGGATTGGGATAATGCCAAGTATTTTGTGAAATTCTTGAAGTTGTTTTTTGAAATCACTACAAAGGTGCCAGGTTCTACTTATGTAACATATGGAACATTGTACAATATTAGGGGCATTAAAGACTTAGAAGGAATGCCATAAATATGACCCATTACTTACAAATATAGCTAATGCTATGGATGATAAATATAGTAGGTGTTGTACCCCAAAATTTTCCCTCCCATATTCTTCAAGATTTGCCAAGTCAAAGCTTCAAAATCTCCCCAAGGGTTGCACAACTCAAGGACCTCCTAAACAGTCAAAATTAGGGTTTTGATTCTGACAAAGAAAATGAAGTTTCCAAGGGTCCAATCAAGTCCCACATGCCTACAAACATGGTCAAGCATCCTCATACCAAGTTTCAAGACTTACAGCACAAGATTGCACAGTCAAAAACCCTAATTGCACTATAGTCAACTGTAGGGGCAAAATGGTCATTTGACAGTCAAAAGTTCAAATTTTTGGTCAACATCTCATTTTAAAGCCACAAACATCATTTGATCAATGCTTGATCATGATTCTCAAAGCTTGGCTCAAAAATCATCAAGATGCAAAAGTTTCCATATTTGGACAGTTGAAAAAGTCAACTGTAACTTGACCAAGGCATAACTTTCACATGGATTATCAGAAAAATTCCATCCAAAGCTCATTTTGAAGATAAAGACATTTCCTACAACTCCTCTTCACACTTAAAGTCCAAGAAATGCTCTCACAAAAAGTTATCAATTTCAACATTATAGGTCATTTTCAAAAGTCAACAAAAAGGGACTTTAAGTCAAAGTCCATAACTTGCGATTGGTAAATCAAAATGACATGGGACCAAAGGCATTGGTTAGAGGACTCAAAGACCTTTCCAAAATGTCCAAGAACATGAGCAAATCTTAAAAATTGAGCAAGTTATGCCTTGTGGAAGTTTGGAAATATTTGGATATTTTAAAAAGTCAACATTGATTCAAATGACCTAAAAATGCTAATGGGCCTCTTTTTCTTCCACAATTCATCATCCAAGGCATGTGCACGACCATTTGGCCCAAAGGGAAGTTTTTTTATCATTTTTATTTATTTATTTGGATTTTTAATTATTAATAATTCATTTAATTAATTAAAATACATGGAAAATACCAAACCAATGCAATCAAATCTTTTTATGCAGGGAATGAGCTTAAGATTTCGTGCATGACCAAATATAGAAAGAATCAAGTCAATTGGCCATGATTTGTATCAAATATGCTTGAAAAAGATTGGAAAATTATGGTTTGAAAATCAAATATTTTTCACATCAATGCATGGATTCTTTGGACAAAAAACCAACCCTAATCATTCACATGTATATATGGATGTAAACCCTACTCCTAAAAAGCTCCCAGCTGCGCCATAGACCAATAACCAAACTTGAATTTTTTGCCAAAAAAGTGAAAACTGAAAACAAGGTTTTAGCACAATTCAGAGCAAGAGACCAATTGCAAAAGCTTCCTCGTGTCTTACTGAAGCTAACTAGATAATTTTCCAACCCTTACACGCCCAAAATTGGTACAGGGGGTTCAAACTGTTCTAAATTATATGCATGATCGTGTTTTAATATTTAGGCATTTTCATTGCATTTCTTTGATGGATTCATACTAATTGATGTGTTCTGAAGCTAACCACATATTTCAATTGAGTTTTTATGCATTATTGGAGATTTCACCATTGAAATAGGTTAGGGTTGCAGAACTTTCAAATTGGGCGTTTGTGCATATGGAACAATTGGAATACCTCAAGGCCATGACCAAACTCAGCGTGCTTAGACGAAAACAATGGAACCCTCGCGCCTAATTTATGAGGCCATATGGCCTATTCGCTATTTTGAAAACAAGCCTGTTTTGAGGGGGTTTAAAACCCCCGTTAATCTCTTTTCTATTTCAGGGAAAAACAAAGCAATGAAGAAGATGATGAAGTGGCAGGCTGTGGTTGGTCCCTTTAAAAATTCGCGCTAAAAAATCCACTAACCCTTATGTTTGCTTATGTTATTTGTTAGTTATATAATTAACAAAATGCGCTCATAGCTCCACTGGTTAAAGGACACGCTGGTAACCCCTGGGACCTGGGTTCGATCCCAGGTCCCCCTCCCTTTCCTTATATTTTTCCTTTAAATGTATTCCTATGCAGTTTCAACACAAGGAGTCCATCATGCACCCCTTGGTCCAGATTGCCACGCACACACCAAGATCAATCAAAAGGCCATGGTTTGAGGAACATAGTGGGCATGAGTCAATGCATCCACACGCCAGCCAAGAAGTCAACCAGGCCAAAGAGTAATTGGGCCAGAATTGCTACAATATACCTCTCAATTTGGGGACAGACCCCCCCTAGGTTTGCAATATTCTTTTCATTATCATTTTATTTATTTCAATTATTGTTATTTTTAATTAATTCCTTTAGTTTAATATTTTCATAAAAAACATAAAAACAATATAAAATCAAAAAAGGACAAAAATAAGTATTTTTTATTTAATATTTTAATATTTTGTAAATAAACATCATTAATTGATTTTAGTGTTAATTTAGGTTTAAATCTTAATGCTTTCAATAAAACCTAAAATTGGTAGAATTAGGGTTTCAAGCATTTTTCATCCTTTTTTTATTTTACTATATTAATTATTAATTCTTAATTAGTTATTTTTATAAATCAAGTTGCAATTAATTAATTAGGCTTAATTTTAGATAATTGTCATATTTTCTTAATAAACTAAAAAACAATTAGAATTAGGGTTAGCATTTTAATTTCAATTAATCTTTCTCATTAAAATCATAAATACAAAAATCTCAAAAAATAATTTCCTTTCATTTAATTTTCATTAATTTAATCGTTTAATTTAATTTCGTTAAAAAAGGGTCCAACGCCCTCGTTTCCAATCTTAATTCAATTCGCACATTTATCTCGTTTCTTTTAATTATTTATGTACCTCTCCCAAAGCCGTGTAAATATTTATCTTTCGCACTTTACTTTATTTCTTTATTTTATGTCAAATCGGGTCCTGGATATAATTTGGCGATGTGGACCCGCGCCTTTGTAATAGCTTAGGAACTTTACATTTCCCGCACTTTTTTTTAACTGTTAATAAATGCATGCAAGAATGAATGAATAAAAATAAAAACAAACGCATAGATCACCTTGACATGAATAAGACAAAATAACTGAACATGACACACAAATCACACACCACCCCTAGGGTACGTCTCACTGTTGCCTTGCCTCGAAAGGTGATCGTCGAGTAGAGGATGTTTTAGTAAGTCCTCATGATCCAGGAACCTGGCATGAGGGTAGCTTCTAAGGTGTCTTCCTATTGCTCCGGTGATCACCATGTCCCGAACCTCGAATTGACCCGAACACCTCCAACGGTGGTGCTACCTACCTCTCAATGGTGGGATGGCACTACTTTAAAGGACATTTACACAGACGAATTCCTTAGGGTAGGTAGGTTCTCGTAGATACTTGCTCTAATTTCAAAACAAATCAAAAAAATACTTTTCACACCGACACCTTTTCAAAAAGCTTTCGAAAGCAACTTTTCAAACACTCTTGAGGACCGATACAAGAGTCGAACTGGAATTTTCAAAGAAACTTTTTAAAACCCACATTGAAAAGCAAACAAACCATTTTTGAAAACACAAATGAGCAAGTATCTAAGAGCCCATGGATAACCATGGATAGAAAGGGTGCTAACACCTTCCCTTTCTATAATCTACCTCCCGAACCGAGAGCAATCTCTTTAAGGAATTTTTCGGTGCTTTTGTCCTTTCCATTTGGAGAAAATAAAAGACGGTGGCGACTCTTGCTTCCGCGACATTTCGCGAACCAGCGTTAAACAGTCAGTTCCAGATCCACCGATCACAGAACTGGCGACTCTGCTGGGGACATTTTTAAAGTGAGGTGTACCTTAGGGTTAGTTAATAACTGTGTTTTCAATTGTATTGACTTGTCTGCTTTAAATTTGTGGGTTGCATGGGAGTTACATAGATCCTAACCCGGATCTGGGGATACCCTGTTTAGGTAGCATAAGCTGTGAGGGACCTGTCCGGCGTAGACCGACACGGGTGAAGCAGTGGCTACGTTGGTGTGGCACCTTGGTCTGTACCGATATCCCTTGTGTTGTAACGAGGAGAATATGGGTCTTCTGAGGAGTCATTAAGCACCAACAACCTTAGAACCTTAAATGACACAACTTGGCCATTAGAACAGTAGCAGTATGCTACGCCCATTGAGGCTAAACTCTCGTGATGGTTCTGGCCGCAAGAAAAGATTGTGATGCTGGAGTTATGACCGATTGAGGGTAGTCAATGATATTGGGATCCTCTAAGAACCCGGTTACTTTGATAGGACAGGTATGAACCAACCAACTGAAAGAGGGTAATACCTAGACCTCATGCTGGCCTTAAACTCTAAGGGCTTTCTCTTGTGTGACTTGTGTGCCTTCGTATTTGACTACTTGCATGCTCGTTATCTGACACGTGAACTACTTACAGGTTTTGTTTATAGTCCTTAACTGGGACTCATAACAGGGTTTACTAGGTCTCTTGTAGGTTTTGTTTATAGTCCTTAATTGGGACTCATAACAAAGTATACTGAATTTCTTGCAGGGTTTGTTTATAGTCCTTAATTGGGACTCATAACAGGGTTACTTACATTACCCCATGCATAACATAACATCATACCATTGCATACATCCTAATCCATTTCAAGGATCTCAAGGGCTTGTGAT